TATTTTTATTAGTAATATTGCAGAAGGTCTTGATGGTAAGGTATGTCTTTTTGCTGATGATACTAAGATATGTAACAGGGTTGATGTTCCTGGAAGAATAAGCCAAATGACAAATGATTTAGGTAAACTAGTTAAATGGTCAGAATTGTGGCAACTGACATTTAATGTGGATAAGTGCAAGATAATGCATCTTGGACGTAAAAACCCAAGGGCAGAGTACAGAATATTTGATAGAGTTCTAACCTCAACATATGAGGAAAGGGATTTAGGGGTGATTATTTCTGATGACTTAAAGGTAGGCAGACAATGTAATAGAGCAGCAGGAAATGCTAGCAGAATGCTTGGTTGTATATGGAGAGGTATTAGCAGTAGAAAGAGGGAAGTGCTCATGCCATTGTACAGAACACTGGTGAGACCTCACTTGGAGTATTGTACACAGTACTGGAGACCGTATCTTCAGAAGGATATTGATACCTTAGAGAGGGTTCAGAGAAGGGCTACTAAACTGGTTCATGGATTGCGGGATAAAACTTACCAGGAAAGGTTAAAGGATCTTAACATGTATAGCTTGGAGGAAAGACGAGACAGGGGGGATATGATAGAAACATTTAAATATATAAAGGGAATCAACACAGTAAAGGAGGAGACTATATTTAAAAGAAGAAAAACTACCACAACAAGAGGACATAGTCTTAAATTAGAGGGACAAAGGTTTAAAAATAATATCAGGAAGTATTACTTTACTGAGAGGGTAGTGGATGCATGGAATAGCCTTCCAGCTGAAGTGGTAGAGGTTAACACAGTAAAGGAGTTTAAGCATGCGTGGGATAGGCATAAGGCTATCCTAACTATAAGATAAGGCTAGGGGCTAATGAAAGTATTTAGAAAATTGGGCAGACTAGATGGGCCGAATGGTTCTTATCTGCCGTCACATTCTATGTTTCTATGTTTCTATCTTAAATTATATGCATCTAGATTGGCGTAAAGACTTAAGAAGGTCATAGGTACCATTGTGCATCCTGATCAAGTGTTTTTTTTCTCAAATAGAACAGCTAATACAAATTCAAGGAAATGTTTGAACATTTTGGATTTTGCAAATAGAACTTGCCTTCCCATGATGACCCTGTCGGTGGATGCAGAGAAGGCCTTCGACAGGGTTGGCTGTGGATATCAGAGTATGACTTTGAAAAGAGTGGGTATAGATGGTTGGATACATAAGGCTATAATGGCTCTCTTTAAAGCACCATCAGCCAGAGTTGTAGGGCAAAACATCTGCTCTGATTGGTTCCCACTATTGAAAATAACCCAGCAGGGGTGCCCACTTTCCCCATTGCTTTATTTTTTTGTTTAAAACCATTTGCATGTAGGATTAGGGAAATCAAAAATATCAAAAGGATTGTATTTCAATCATTAGAATAAAAAAATAATTTATATGCAGCTGATACACTGATTACATTAACAAACCCAATTACTTCATTGTAACCTTTAATGGTAGAGTTTGCTGTATATGGCAAAGCTTCTAATTTTTAGATTAATATAGGAAAATCAATTATTATGGGATGTGATTTAACAGAGATAAAAAACAAAATTTTAATTAAATATGGCTTCTTATGATCTAAAAAAACAAACTACCTAGGAATAAAAATAGCTAAAAATATCAAAACTTGTATGGAAATTAATTTTATGGAATTATTAAAAGCTACAAATCATACTTTGAAAGAATGGAAATATGTAAAAGTATTGTGGATAGGTAGGGACAATATAATTAATGCATATCTATTACCAAAATTGCAATACTTATTTAAAATGCTACCTCTCAAAATTCCAGATAGTTGACTGAAGATGCTACAAAGCAGTTTTAATCTATATTTTTAGAAGGGGAAACATCCAAGATTAAATCTTTCATTACTCTCTAGAAAAAAAGAGAAAGGTGTCCTAACCTTCCCTAATATTAAGTATAACTATTTTGCAAGCATAGTCACATATAATAACTTTCAGCTGGAAACACAATTTAACAAAAGTTGGTTTAAGATGGAAACGATCAGATTGAATAATTATAGTGTAACTCAAATAATATGGAATTGTTATCGTAAACCTCTACCAAACATTCAAAGCTATATTCTAAAACACTTAAATGAGGCTTGGGATTTTGTCAAACAATTTCTAGATGTTAAGGGAAAACTTTTGAGTTTTTTTGCCATTAGAGGTACTGGAGGCCAACTTGGAAAATGTAACCTTAACAAATCGGAAAAGATGTAACAACCTAATAACCAGTGACTTCTTCTGCTACCTCCAGATAATGGATTTCGCACAACCTATAGATATCAAATAAGTAGCAATATTACTTTCCACATTCTTTCATTTTACCTATTATGTAATGAAGGAAAATACAAAATGACCTGATCTCCCTAAATACACATCTAAACAAAGAATCCTCAATGCGGGGACAACCAAGATATATCAATGAATGGGTAACAGATTTGGGTGATACCCTAGAAGGAGGAGAGTGGGAAGAAATTTGGGAAGCAGCCGCAAAAATCTTAGTTTGTCTTAGCTCAAGAACAGATGTTTAAAAGGATATTCAGATGGCATGTGACCCAAGTTTAGTTACATAGAATATGAAAAAATCCAATAGTCCTCTGCTGGTGACTTTGTGGTTACAAAGGTACATACCTACACATGTGGTGAGATTGCCCAAAATTGCATGGTTTCTGGAAGAGCATAATGGATCTAGTGACAGAGGTTTTATGGAGAGCAATTGATCTCTCTCTTTGGACCTTCCCAGTGTCTCGCCCGATTGAGGGAATTCACAAACATAATCAAACACTTTTGAATTTGATCACACTAGTGTCACAAAGGGTATTTGTAGCAGGATGGCTCAAAATGGCCCCCTGACATTAAAACAATAGTATTACTAAAATGTAATACAATGAGGGAATGGATGAACTGATATTAACATTCAGGAGTTTATATGCAGCATTGTCTAAAGTATTGGATCCCTGGAAAGAATTTACCCCAAATAATTTTTAAAACAGTTGTAGCCAACTCTTTGGGTACATTGTGCGCAGCAGTAACCTTGTCACGTTAGGTATATGGAACCTGAAATGCACTACTTGATAGTAAGCAAAATAACAAACATAGTCCAAGGCAAACAAAATCTGACAGTGGCAAGGCAGAGGAAAGTTCAGGCAATCTAAAATGTTAAAATCCAGGCAGCAGAGGTTCATAAACTATAGGCAAGACAAAGGTCAGGTAAATCACAGAGAGCAGGTTTGGTACAGCAAGGAAACAGGTATGTAGCACAGAACAACTGAGCAATGAAGGTTCAGCTGTTCTGAGTTTAAATAGGGTGATAAATGTATGGCACACCTATTCTGGACTACCTCTATATCACCCTATTGGTGTATGGGGCTGTCAGTCACAGGGATTGCCATGGAGAGTGATTAGTATGTTAATGTGTTCCAGCAATGCCTACAGTATTGTCCTACAGCATGGAACGATCATGCATATCTAGCAAGCGTCTATTATTGCCTGGGAGACGTAACGCAATCTAAGTTAGGAGGCTGCTGACATCCCATACATTCGTACATGCATGCTTTTGGGCGGCTGTGGCCCAGGATTGCAGCCGGAGCATCCTTCCACTCCTTTTCCTTCTTTGTTTTTTTTTTTTTTTTAATTTAATTTTCTTTCTCCTACCTCTGTTCATTAAAAATTATGAACAGACCCAGACAGTAAGAAAAAGTAATATGTTTCATATGTATAGTATTCTAAACTCTCTTGCAGAACATATCATATATATTTTATTGTTAGCATAATATTGAATTGCTCTCTTCTTTATGATATATAGTTCATTTGAAATGTTATGTGTTTAATCTTAGACTAATGCTTATTCTGTCTAATTTGTGGACTGTAATTCTCCATGTCTGCCTCTCTTAAATATTTTTTTTTAAATAATTACACATATGACAGCCATCTCTTAAATTTCACTATGGATGCTTATGGAAAATGTATCCTGCAAAATCACATAAAAATAAAATATAGGGTGAAGCATGCATATTTGGGGATGCATACATTAAAAATAGAAAGCACAAACTTACATTAAAATGTTAGGAATTAGCATTAGTAGAGATGAAAAATAAACAAAAAGCAAAATATTAATATAAATAAAACAGAACATTGTGTGTGATTTAAATATTTTTAATGTAATCATGAAAACAAAACTTATCACCTTGTAAAATGTATGTCATGTTTATTAAATGTTTATAACTTGTATTAATTATTAATAGACTTAATCCAAAAAAAGTTAAGAAATGCATTACCGCATTACCAAAGACACTGTGTGCTTGTAGTTTATGTTGTTACACATTTCATATTCTGAAGCAAGAACAGGATAGAACCATTGTGTTCAGAATAGAATGCAGTGCTGGGAGTTAAAGAGAAACTTATCAATATTTTGTCTAAATGATATGATGGAACGGGTTGTATAGTTGTTTATGTTTATTGAACATTTTACAAAGGTAACTATATTATGGAAATAAAAAAAACATGTATTACCAGAGATGGATTTGGGAATTTTATTCAAACCTTAGTTAGAACAGGACCTTAGTTAGAACAGACAGTCTGGCTTACTTTAATTTATCCCTGCAGAACTCTATAGGATAGAGGACTCTGCAATCCACTGTACTTCCCTAGTGCCTCATGAAGTGTGGTTAAGTGAATTTGGGCTGAGTTAGTAATCATGTTGCCTTTCCGAAGCCTCCTGGTTCATTAGAGTCTGTAATCCATCTTCTACAGTTAGGTGCTCAGTCAGTTAAATAGAGAATGAGGTTATAATCTTATGGTATGTTGCCCCATACATGCACACCTCTAAGTACTAGAATTAATGAAGAATTTTTACAATATCTAAGTCACTAAGTCATTTATAGTGGAAGGATGATTACTGGCATCGAGGGCGCCAACACCAACCACATGGCCATGTTACCAAGAGCTGTTGTAGGTATGTAGGCCAGGGAGGGAAAGAGATACAAGTAGGGGTGTAAGGGAGAGAGTGAGAAAGGGGGTAGTAAAGACACACACACAGAAGGGGGATTGTGAACAAAGAAACCCAAAATAATAAAAAAATGTGAGTCACAAAAATTTGCAACAAAGAAATACACGCCTTCATTTAAAACTTTCCGATTTAATGTTTTTGAATAACCTTTTCAAACGATTTAACATTTTGTTTATACATTTTTTAAATGATTCAATATTTTAAAAAATATTTTATCTCAATACATTTTTGATTCATTAATATTATTTTTTTATACATTATATATTTTTGTTACGTTACTATTTTGAAAATAACTGTGTTAAAAGTTAATAAAAAAATATTAAATAATTTTAAAAGCTTATCCAAAAATATTAAACTGAGGCCTTAGCTATTTATCCATCCTGTATATTTGCCCCTAAAAAGTCTTTGTCAATTTTCAACAATTGCTAAGTTTTTGAATAAACTCATGTGTACATTAGTACACATGCATCTTAGCCATCAAGAGGTCTCAGGACCTAAGTCTTACATTAATATTAGAGAATAATTTCTACAAGCTTACTGTAATTCATCTAATGGAATTAAAAGAGGTTCACACAAGATCTTGTTTTTTTTGTTTTTTTTAGTAACGTGATATAGCACAGATCTTTTGGGGTGTTGGTGTATTTGTAAATCCAACTAGAGTATCAAGGTTGACGGCCGTAATACCAGGAGGAAGGTGGAATGTGAACTTCTGTAGTAAGCTTGCAAAAAAGATAAATAGTTCCATCCTTGCAAGGTTTTCACCAGCACATACTCTGCGACCTGCAGTACATACAGAGCATATACTTGGTTATATATACATATACTATATTGTTTAAAAACCAACAACTTAAGTTCTAAAATTGCTTTAAACAAATCAAATATGCATCACAAAATGCCTTCTAAGGTGATCTGATAGAAATGTTTAGTAAATAGTGTTAAAATGCCCTGCTAATTAACTAATTGATGATGGAACAACCATAACTGCTAAAATAAGTTGTCCTTGAAGTTGGTAAAAACACTGAAACCAAATATTGCTGGTTAAACCATAAAGTGAAGACATAATTGTGCTTGTAGTGTTCCTTTAGCAGACAACTCTCAAACTGTAAATTATTGATTTAATGTTGGTGTTAAGTGACAGTCCCTACTAGCATTAGCCACAGCAAACCAAAAATTCGAATCATCCAGCTATCACACTATTCAGTTTATATGGAATTTAGGTTTCCGACTTTGTTTTGGAATTTGGAAATTCGGGCAAGCCCTTCATGAGCTCAAAATGTGGTGAAATTTCATTTTAGATTGAACAGAATCTCCAAGTGTAATATTTACTACTACGTCTCATATAAATGTATTCGCAGTGTAAGCAAAGATAAAAAAAAAAACAGTAGTATATAAATTGTGCGATTAGGTCTGTGAGACACCAGCATGAAATAAAGCACACTTGGCATAACATTAACCCTTATGGCTAATGTTGCTACTGAAAATAGTGCATTGTATTGCTTTCTTCAGCGGCAGTGAAAGAGAAAATAGTAAAGGGATACTCCACTACCCAAATGCAAATACACTACCCAATTACCCAAATACAAGGGAGATACCCAAAATGAACACCAAGTGTATATCTAAAAACAGTTTGCAAAGGCTGTAGATCTCTTGTCTTCTGCTTTTGCAAGCCCTCCCTTTCTAATCATGCCTGGACTTTCTATGGCTGTCTAATCACAGACTTCCCAATACAGCTCAATGAGAAGAGTTTTCAAGGCAGGTGCACTGGGCAATTGCCTGTCTCTAGAGCTTAGCTCTACTGAACAATCCAGGTAGTAACAGGCACAGAATAACAGCCAGGGAGGTGTAACAAGGTTAATTTATTAGATTGACAAATTCTATTAAAATTTGCAGCTTTTTTAAAATAACAAAGAGGACACACTCATCACATATAAAACATTTCAACAAGCTAAAGTTCGGTCTGCAGTGGTCCTTTAACACTATAAATATGGAAGTCCATCATCTCTTTAACACTAGCATATATAAGTGCATGAATAAAAAGAATATGGGGTCTTTTGGATTATATTGTTAACTAAGAGAGGTTGCTAAACTTTGTATTTTAAAAATGTCATGTCCAAGACCAGGACCTGAACGGGCCTAATATGAGTATGGCCACCAGACTACATGGAGGTGATCCATCCATTATTCCCCGCTCATTGCGAGGAATAATTTCATTAAAAAAAAGATAAATTAGAAAGATATAATGGAGGATTCTCAGTTCTTTAACCCAGCATCGCCTGTTAACTAAGGATGTAAATAAACCTCTGTAGCCAATTATGTCATTATGATCAAATTTTGATTTAGGTAGTGTTTTTAACTTATGACTTACAACAAAGGGATCTTGCTACAACATAGCCTTAAGAAGCAGAAAGAAAACAAGTGAAGAAATCTCTCGGCAGCAAGTTATTATTAAACAAGAACAAATAATTGTTTTTATTTTTTTTAAATTAAAACACATACCTGCTGAAAATGGAATAAAGGCATCTTTTTTTAAGAAATTCCCTTCTGAATCAAGAAAGTTATTTGGATTAAATTCCTCTGGATAATCAAATTGTGTCTTGTCTCTCAGAACAGATGTAAGCAATGGAATAACATATGTTCCCTGCGTTAAAAAAATGGGAAACAAGGGCTTTTTAAAGGTGATCATAAATAATAAGCAATATATATAATGTGAAATATATAGGAAAATGTATTCTATTATAGATAGCTTAACAGCTCACAAATTATTAAAGTAG